AGGCAGCTGTCCCGTCCCACTCCCCTGCAGAAGAGTGGGTGTCTGGGGCTCCCCAGGAGCCCCAGCTTTGCTCACACATCCATCACATCTGTTTTCCTCCAGTGTCCCCAGGCTCGGGAGCTGGGGACCGTGCTGGGCTGCCAGTGCGTGGCTGTACCTCTGAGAGCGAGTGAGCAGCAGGGAAGGATCCGGCTCAGGGCCGGGAGCAGGAAGGAAGGAAGGAAAGCAGAGTTAAAATAAGTCAGGCAGAGAGCCGTGGGGGAGGCCAGGGCTGGAGCTGGCTCCCAGCCCCCAGGAGAGGGGCGGACCGGGATGGATTGGGATCGGTGTGGTGTTGGGACACCCTGGGGTGCTGCGCTGTGCTTTGGGCTGGGGTGGGGGCAATGCGCAGCCGGAGGGTGCCAGGAACTGGGGGGGCACATGCTGCCTGTCTCTCTCTGATGGCTCTGCCCTTTCCCACCCTGGCAGGATGGCTCCCGGCAGCGGCTGCCGCAGAAGAAGAAGACGGTGTCCTTCAGTTCCATGCCCAACGACCGCAAGATCAACAGCACGGCCGCCTGCATCTCCCTCATGCTGGAGGGCTGCGAGCTGAAGAAGGTGCGCTCCAACTCCCGCATGTACAGCCGCTTCTTCGTGCTGGACGCTGACATGTGCTCTGTGCGCTGGGAGCCCTCCAAGAAGGACTTGGAGAAGGCCAAGATCGAGATCAAGTCGGTCAAAGAGGTGCGTGTGGGCAAGAAGACACCTATCCTGCGCAGCAATGGCCTCTCTGACCAGTTCCCGGATGAGTGCGCTTTCTCGATCATCTACGGAGACAACTACGAGTCCCTTGACCTGGTAGCCAGCTCAGCTGATGTGGTGAGTGCCTGGGTGATGGGACTGCGGTACCTGGTGTCCTATGGGAAGCACAGCCCAGAGGCGCCCGGGACTGGCCACCCCAGTCTCCGAACCTCCTGGATCTCCTCTGTCTTCGACCTTGCTGATCTGGAGAAGTCTGGCCGCATCCCTGTGTCCCGGGCCGTGCAGCTGATCAAAGCGCTCAACCCCGGCATGAAGACCTCCACCATTGAGCTGAAGTTCAAGGAGCTGCAGAAGGCCAGCGAGCGTCCTGGTGTGGAAGTGGCCTGTGACCTCTTTGTGGAGGCATATTGTGAGCTCTGCACCCGGCCCGAGATCTTCTTCCTGCTGGTCCAGTTCTCCAGCAACAAGGAGTACCTGGGTGTGAAGGACCTGCTGATGTTCCTGGAGGTGGAGCAAGGCATGGAGGGGGTGACGGAGGAGAAGTGCTTAGAGATCGTTGGCAAGTATGAGCCCTCCAAGGAGGGCCGGGAGAAGGGCTACCTGGCCATCGACGGCTTCACACGCTACCTGCTCTCTGCTGACTGCTCCATCTTCGACCCACAGCACCGCAAGGTCTGCCAGGACATGGCACAGCCCCTTTCCCACTACTACATCAGCTCTGCCCACAGCGCCTGCCTGCTGGAGGACAACTTCTGGGGCCGCACGGA